TGAATCTTCATATGATTTAGGGTAGACTGCAAACTTGAAAGTAACTTCTAAGTATTGTGGAACATTGTGGAACTCTTAGTGCTCATTTCGCAAGCCCCTTTGGTGGTTAATGATGATATCTGAAATTAGAAGGAACTGTCATTTTGATGCATAAATAAATGCATGTTGCAATAGAAGCAACATAATCTGAATTTGAAATAAAATCTCTTCTTTTTAAATAAGGGAGTCCTCAACAGGAGTGAACTAGCACTGATCAATTGATACTAACTACTTATTTACTTTCATGGCATACTTTAATTCTGGACTAGCTCTTTGGCTAACAAGAATCAAATGCAAAACAAAAAAACCCACAAAACCAAATGAACACATAAACAACCCCCCGCCCCAAAGGAATCATGAAAATGTAGGCATATGACTTGAGATACACGTGAGGAACAGATGTAGCAAGTGAAAAGATGCTCACTTTTGCATACTTGCCATGTACAAGCTCAGCCTAAGCCTGTGGGTGAGAAACTTGCAGTGAATTGACCGGCTTATTACAGGGTATCTTATAATATGTTTCAGATATTTCTATTTTCAAAAATTAGATCTCCATACACCAGCCAGAACCCTGGGAACCTGAATCTATTTTTTGAGCCCCCAGGCTATTAGCAGCAGCTGTGCAACGTTAGTGCAGATTTCAGATACATCAATATTTGAAGGCACTGGCTAATTTTTGGCTAACAATGCAAGTACATATCTGTTTGCTGATGTAAACATGTTATCTCTTACATAACTTGCACGACGCTTTGTGTGTTGCAGGTACAATCTACAATGTTGTGAACCACTCAGATTTGATGATGGTCATCTGGTTACGCAGATTAAAACCAGTCTATCGTAATTACTAAGAATACCCATGCAGTTTTGTTGAGCTAATGATACTCCAGTAGTTCAGACTCAGAGATTAGGAGTCCTTATTTTGTTAGAGAGTAGGTGATGGGCAGATGTTCGTGTTACCCATGTTCTGGGCAGACAGTCATCTGCTACTAGATCTGCATATGCCATTCAAGCGTTTAAGCATTCAAGCATTTGTCACTCCTAGGTTGGACTACTGCAGTGCTGTATGGGGCTACATCTTGCTACGTTTTTATAAAATATTTGTTGCTGTTGTTACTATTATCTTCTGGGTCAAACAGTGGAAGATTTCTTCCAGTAACCTGGTGTTTTGAATGAGCTTGTTAGGAAACACTGAACAAGGTTGTTCATGTTCATGGGGCAAAAGGCATCTCTGACAGTGATTACCCTCGTTTGCCTTTTCTCTTCACTCCAAGCACATGAATGCATTCAGCGCTCCTGTGTTGAACTGTCTGTTTCTGATACATGTTGAGAGAACTCAATACCCTATCTTACACAGGGTACAGTAAAAAATTTTGGTTGTTAAACAAGAATTTTCTGACTGCGTCGTAGAGAAGGCAAAGGTACTTTAGGGAATATGGAAAAAATCTTCACCCATGGGACAAACCAGAAACCTGGGATATATGGCCTTCTCTTACACTGACCTGGAAAAATTGTAACTAGTAAGGAAGTTGGAACCTCATGCAATGAGAGAGGTATGGTCCCAGGAGTATGTGGCACTCTGCTTTTAGATTTACATCAGCTTCTGCAAGGTGCTGTTTAGCATGCAAAGTACTAGTTATGAATCTAAAAACTCTGAATGGGAAGGTATTAATTCAGATGAAAGACTCTTTTCTCGGGGCATAGTAACATTCAATGAAGGTGGAAACTCATTCAAATATCAGAAAGTAGACAGAAGGCAGAACGTTGTCTGCGAGAGCTTGGACCTGGGAGTCCCAAATCTTCCTCCTTCAAGGTGGGCTGCATCTCGGTATATTTGTTTCCTGAGCAATGAGAGGGAGGATGCTAGTGGGAGCTCATAAATATCACAGTGCACAGTAGCTGATTGGTTAGAATATACATTAAGTGCTGGGTGAAGAGGAGCTTTTTTAGAAGTAGACTGTTTTATAACGATATTTTAAATGTTTTGTGGAATGCCTAAAGCAAAAGATAGCATTTCTTTTTAATCAGGATATTTATTTGTTGAAATAAATGAATAATTTATTTACTTGCTATCTTGGTTGTATGTCTCCTTTCTGTGGATCCTTGTCAGGATGTACTTCAAATGGATATTTTTAGAGAGCAATGTTGGTCTTGGGGAATAATTGAAGCATAGCAGTAGGTGAGTTATATGTCCCTGTAGTTGGCCTTTGGACCTTTTGAATGTCAGTTATTATAGTAATTTCGTTACTTGAAAATATGCCGTGGTGATTAAGTGTTCACATCTTTTATCCCAGAAAATCAGTTGCCATCTTTCCCTTTATCAGTCAGGAATACTGCAAGCCTTACTATGTTGTGTTCAGCTGTCTCCGTGCTACACATAAAACCAGCACAGGGTAATTTTTCCATCTGACCTTCCTTCAGTCTGGTTTTGTCTCTACTTTTGTTAATGCAGATCAGGTAGTATGACTCAAAGGAGTCTAAATGCACGCCTCCTAAGTATGTTTATGGGTATTTGTCTAACTATCTGTGTGTTTATTTTGGCAGTGACTTGTGTGCACATGTGTTTGTGTACTTATTTGCACGCCTGCATGTACTTGTCAAACTGCCTTCCAGAGTTTGCTTATAAAATGTTGGACTTGGTTCTCAAAATTGTACAATTACTTTGCTTTAAAAGACTTGTGGCAAATATAGATAAGTGAAGGAACAAGTGTAATCCAAAAGTGTTTTAGTATTGAGTGGTCTAAACAAACAGGTTGATGAAATAATGTAAACCAAGTATTTCAGTAACAAAAAATCACCGTGATACCTTTGAATAGTTATACCATTTACAGCATATTTAATTGCAAAAGTATCTCATATGAAATACATATTTGGGAAAATGTATCTGTAAAAAGTATCCTAGAACTAAAGCAAAATGACACAAAAAGAGTACAGGAAAACATCTTTCATTGCTGTATATTGGCATAAGTTAACTGGCTTCAGCTGATTATCTCAACTGATGTTTGATGAACTTCATCTCCAAGCAAACCAAATCACCCTCTGAGATACTTAAAAATAGAGTTAATGGCTTAACTTCCTGCATCAGAGCGCGAAAATGTTGTTCTGGATGCTTTAAGTACTCAGGCAGAAGTATATGTAAAAAAGGAATCTACTTGTAATAAGATACAAGGCTTACCTAATTTTACACTGATAGGGGAGTGATGATAATCTAAAGAGCTTGAGAGTATGACCCTTGGCTTGAAAGCTCCATGTGCCAGGATCATAGAATAGAATCATAGAATCATAGAATCATTGAGGTTGGAAAAGACCTCTAAGATCATCGAGTCCAACCGTCAACCCAACACCACCATGCCCACTAAACCATGTCCCTAAGCGCCTCATCTACACGTCTTTTAAATACCTCCAGGGATGGGGACTCCACCACTTCCCTGGGCACAGACAAGACATTTTCCATGAGGATTTTACAAGCTTTTCAAAAAACATAAGATTGCAGGAGATTTCTAAAAAATTCTAGGAAATGGCTTTTGAAATAACCCTTCCCAGAAACTGTGGGCTATTATAATCCAAGTTTGAGCAATTTAATGAATAGGAGTCACTTGATATTCTAGTTTATTTTATTCAGTGTTGTAATGACTTCAAACATTTGATAGCAATAAATTAAATAATAATGGACATGTGAAAACAAACCAGATACTCCCTCGGCTTGTAAACAGTTTGTGACATACATGTTTCTAAAGAAAAAGCATTGCTGAAATTCTAGATAATATAGTTACTGATGTAGTAATTCTCTAATCAAAAGATCATTTTTTCAGTGTAAATAAAATTCCCAAACAGACACAAAATGGTGGCCTCACCTGATTTTTTGCACCAGTTTCATACCCAAATAGATTGCATTACGCTGCAAATAGATACAAAAACTGTTATAAAACTGATATAAAAGCTGATATAAAAACATAGTATAGAATAGCGTTATCAGGCTCATTATGCAAAGACTGATCCCTGTTTCCCTTGACTTTCAAAAGTCAGGTGTGTGGTTGAGTACTTAACCTACATGCAAAGATACTGCCATGGGATATGCCAGTCATGAGATGGTTTGTACAAAGCCGCTATCCGAATATCTGACGAGCTGTAGCTGCATGTAGACTTTAGCACATGCAAATTATGCCCACTTTTGGAAGCAAGATTCACCTGAGTTTTTCTCACCCCTGTGATAGATACTCATATTTTAACATATTTTCTAATGGTAGTCCCTCTTTTTCATAGAGATGCAGGGCAGAAATCTGGGTCAATAAGTCTGGTCTTTTCCTAACATTAGCTAACCTTCATGTCATTCTTCTCTTGAATGACCGTGTTGAAGCCATCTCTCAGCACGGGTTATTAGTATATTTTGTTAGCATTTTCCTATATCTTTATACTAGTGTCATTAATGAAAACATTAAATCCCATCTATCCCTGAGGTGATTATTAAGGAATCGTCTTTGGATTGCTGGTGCTCTTTTCAGCTTTCCCTGCTATATTTTACCTTTTTTATACTAATGAGGCTTAGTTCTCTCCCTCTTAAATAAGATTTTCCTACTAACCAGTGCTAGGTGAATTTGCTTTACCACGCTGCCTTTTTCATTAATATTATTTTTACTTTGATTAGCTTCATACCTAAAATGGAACAATTAAGATAGAGGAAAATTAAAAAGCACATCAACACATTATGAACTAGGTGTATTACAGTGATTAGATTAAACATAAAAAGATATGCTGAACCAAACTTGAGACTTAAATGAAATAAAATGTCTATGGAACAAATCTGTGACATACAAGAGCATAATCATAAAAACCTACCTGACACATAGGATAAACCAAATGTAAAAATAAGAATTGTACAATGCCTTTCAATGATTAGCTGCATTTTCTCCCAGAACTCAAGAATAATTATAATACGTTTTCCAACTGTTTCTTTTTCCTTACAGTACTTGGGGTGTATAGAAGTCTTACGCTCAATGAGATCTCTTGACTTCAATACTAGAACACAGATTGCAAGGTAAGACTTTGTACAAGTATGTTTTTTAAAGTAACTTCTGAATTGTGTCCCCAGAGTGGAAAGGCCAGGAAAATGGCCTTTACATGTAGTAAATAATTTTTGGATACTGTAAGTCCACTTTTTAATTTTGCTTTTACAGGTAAATCTCTCACCTGGTATCAATATAGCTCCAACGGGCCTTAAAGGATATTTTCTTCATGGTCTTTTGATGTGCCAGGAATTGCTTTAGAAAATTTTTGCCTGTTTGTTATGCCAAATAAGGCACTTACCTGGGTACCAATTCTAAAGCCAGTGAGAATTAGAATATTAGAATATTAAATCTACATTGAAATCTAAATCTACATAGAATTAAAATCTACAACGTATTTGTCAAAATTAGTCTAGGGAGCTGGTTTGGATCCACATGTTTATTGGTTTTTATATTAATTTCTTGTGAAAAGATGTCAGATTACAAACTGGATGTACAAAGGATATAAATGAAAATATATCACCACAATGGTACCAGAGACAAATGAAAGAATATTGTCTTTTTCAGACTGTGTGTAAGAAACAATAAGCTTGTAGTAGGCTCTTATTACAATTCTTTTAAACCTGTTGCGGTGTTTTTGTAAAAGCGGTACAAAGTACAGCACTGTCTTAAGAAGTGTCCATGAATCATTTTTTTTCTAGGAGACTGTTTTCTGAGAACTATAGGAAATAGTGTTTTGCAGGCATTTTCACTTGAAAAGCTGAGCTCATTGATTTCAGAGGACTGTAGCACTGACGTCTTCTAGCAACTGGAGACCATGTTTTCAAATTCTGGCGCCGAAATAATGAAGTAATCCTTTCCAAAGGAACACATATAAAGTGATATGACTGGATACAGTGCTTGAATTTCACCTCTTTGAGGCGTCTTACAGTTGCTGATCATCTATCATAAACCATTTGTCATACTGTAGGCAGCTAAGTATTTCTTTTATTAAATGGGAAAAATTACTTATTTTTAGGCTTGGATGCCAATCGTACGGTGTATGTGCATTGTCTTTGAGTTACACTTGCATACAGCAGCTCTGAATTGGACCCTGTGAGTCCTCACAAAATGTTAATCATTAATTTGTCAAGGTACTGTGTTGAAAAGGGGTGTAAAAGCGCAAGGACAGGTGAATGACAGAATTCTGTTTTTTAGGCAATGTAGGCTATGGAGGCATCTGAGAATTTTACTACTGTACTTTTTTAAACTCATTGTGTATATTTCTGTGGTATTTGCAGCACTGACCTTTTAAAATGATTTCATGTCTAAGCAGACTTGTAGTTCCAATGCAGGTGGCACATTTGTGTTTACCACTTGGAAGTTAAATGATACTGGCTTATGAAACAGTTGTGATAGTTATTGGGTGTGTATTCTATACCTGAAGGTGAACTGAATTCAGCTTTATTTTTCTGCACAGTCTCTTTCACTATATGTCTTCACTGGAATAGTGTTGCACTTTTCTTATTGTCTAGCTTAAAGGCACAACTCTGCCATTGAAACTTAAGCATATTTGCTAATCTAAACCAATGTGGTCTACACAAAGTATCTTTGTCTTATAGTTCTTTCAATACAAAAATGATTCTTGGCTTTTACTGTGAAACAGACTTGGAATTATATTTTTTTCTGTGGAAGTTATAGCATATTTGACTACATGGTGGGCATTTTCTTGGCTCATCTTCCTCTGACCACATCTAGAGCACAGGATATTTTTTCAAGCAGGAAGCCTGTTTTGCTTGTTATTTTGCATTTGCAATTTTCTGTTTATCATAAAACAATGAAGACTCATTAGCTCATCATTCTGATCATGTAGTTCCTGATCTAGAACTTTTTTGAAAGTAGAAGTTTTTAGGTGACTTTTGAATCAGGATCTGGCATCTTGATCTACATTTCATTAATTCATCTGGCTCTAGAAAACCCCATGCCATGTCTTAAGTTTTAAGTATTCACAGGAAGCAGTCAGTGCCATGCTTTGTCATGTAGCATTTCACATACAAGCCTATTCTTTATTAAGAAAGTATTATTAAGGAATTATTACAATTCACATTTGCTGATTAACTTGCTCATGTGCATTAAGAAACATAACATAGGCCTCAAGGTATGTACTGGATTAATAAGGCTGATGTTCTGATATTACAGGCACCAATTCCTTCTTAAGAAGCCACCTGGCACCAAATGGTCTATGCAGCCCTTTGATTACAAATAAAAGTACCTGAAAGTTACATTTATGTCTACTATGTCATATATTTATATTTAGGTATGTCCATTGCTGATTCCTCTGCAGCCTGGCACCAGTAAGAAAACTGTGCTTGTAACCTGATGGCTTGTGATGGAGTGTGACTGAGGGTTGGGTCTGTAGATCTAGTAATGTTAGCTGTGACTGCTCCAGCTGAGGAACCTAGATCCATAGCTGCAGTAAAAGCTTTTCTGTGTATGGAGCTGTGTAAACTTCTCTGTGCTGTTTCCCATAACTGGAGAAACAGATGTCAAGGCAGCTCTGATCCCTTTCTGACCCGTAACTTTATAAATTGATCCTATTGCATGTGTCACACCTGTTTAATCTGTTATTTTTTCCAAGACCTTGCAAAACCAGTCATAGAAGAAAGTGATCCCTCTTGGGCCAGTATGACTTCTGGTATTATGCAGCATTTACTACATGCAATTAAAAAACAGTTAGAAGAGATGAGCCAAGTTACCTGATTCAGTGTGGAAGTCCGGATGCATCTCTTCCTAATAAGCACACATCGTGCTTGACACATACGAAGCACTTTCTCCCTTTCTAGCACTGCATCACATCCCTGTCCCTACCTGCTTTCTTACCCTTGCTTTTCCTCCCTGTTGCAGAGCTCAAACATAGGAAGTCAGCCACTAGGAATCCTACATTTGCCTTTTTTCTGTCTTCCGGTTATTGCGTATGTCACTTTATCTCTCCGCTAGCCTTGAGGAGGATGAGCAGCACCAATTCCTAGAAGAAAAAAACTTCCGTGGCTCAGTCATGGGAGGGTGAGATGTGTAGTCTCTGGCTCTGCTGGAAACATTGGGCGTTATTTTTGAGAAACCATTAGCCCCAGTCACATACAACTGTGTCATTAAATGAATTAGTGCTTGTAAAGGGCACTGAAATAATCGGGTGAACATTTAGAAATTACTTAAAAATTGGGCTAAGATTTCCAGTGACCTCGTGAATTAGACACCCATTTTAAATAAGAAGTTAAAGGAAAAAGGTTGTCCAGATATTTTGAATGGCTTTGAAAATCCCAGCTGTTATAATTAATACATTAGGAAAGCATATAAGTCAGTGTGTATGCATGGACTGGTCTGACAAATGAAGAACTGTGACTTCAAATCCAGGAACTGGATTGAAGTCCCAGTGTAAACAGTTTGGTCAGCGGTCTTTCCTTCCTTGTCACAGTCATGTGAAAAATCAATCTGTGCCATGTAACGCTGTTGTACTTGGCCTGTGACTTGTTTTTATTTTGCTTTTTCACTTTTTGTAAATTAAAATGTTAAAACTCGCAGCAATACATTTATCTTTGTGTGAAAGCAGTGAGCAAGTGCTTTCACTTGTCATAACTTGCAGCAATACATTTATCTTTGTGTGAAAGCAGTGAGCAAGTGCTTTCACTTGTCATACTCTTCATCGGATCTTAACAACCTTGCTGGTGCCTGACAAAAGGTATTTTTATCCTAATTTTGGATCTGATTTGAGGAAAAATGAACAGCTATGTACAACTTATAACAGATTTTTCCCTGTATCGTTACACATTTGAAGTCTCAAGATTCTTTCACCACAGGAGAAATAGGAGAACTAGAGTAGTATTAATCGGTTGTATTGTATTTATTCTTTTGTGTAATGAATGTAATGTCATGTGAATTCTTGAGCAAATAAATGGATGTGCAAGCCAAGGGTCAGCAGTTATGCATAATGATAAATAAAAGCCAGCTGAATCCCCATGTTGCATCATTCATTATCCAGTGATAATTCTTGTAACACATGTGAAGTCAAGATGACTTTCTTAGGCAGCAGGACGAACAGAAGCATTTCATTTTCAACGTAGCGGAGGAACTTGAGGACTAGCAGGCAAGACTACTGAGCGAACCACAGGTGGCAAGTAGTCCTAAGTTCATCTGAAACCTACCATCATCGTCACAGAAAGGGGCCACTTTTAAGCTTGTGTGGCCAGGCCCTTTGTGCCCTCAGGCTGTTTATTAAAAAAAAATTAAAAATCAGGTAAAATTCTTTTGCAACATGTGCAGTGTTTGCAGTTCATATAATATGTTTGTATGCTTATTGTTAAATCTGTTACAGTGTAATGCGTCTTCACTACTGTCTTGTATGCATGAGTGTAGTTATGCACTGGATTGAATTAGAATAATGTTGCATGCACTGTTTGTCATACAGCAGTGTCTGGACGACAAGGCTGCATGTTCATTGGTATCTAATTGAATGCAATCAGTTTACTGCATGCAGCCTCAGAAAGTCACACCTCCCCGTGTTGCGTAAAACATTATATTGCATGTTGTATTAATAGCAAGTTGATCAGAGGACTGAAATACTTCGTATCAGCAGTGGACCCGAATCCAAACTCTGATCCCAATCCTCTCCATGAACTCTTTTGGGCTGAACAATTTGAAAGAGACTCCTCTCCAAATGTGGGGCCTGAACTTTATTAGTTGTGAAAACCAAACCCATTTATGCCAATATCTCAAGCTTCTGGAGGGGAGATGATGGAAATTCAGACTTTAGAGCTGGGTTCGAGTCCAATGCCAAACAATATGAATGGAGTTCAGTTGATGTAGTGTTTCTTTTAGCCGTATCTGTATTCTTTGCAGAAATTCACTGTCAGCAAGCATCACTGAAAAAGGGATGGAAGACATGGAAAAGGAAGAATGTTTCCTCTGTGATTTTTGAAGGCGGATAGGTAACGTGTTATCTGCAGTGAATTCTGTATTCAGTCTCCTCCTTAACATGCTCTCTTGCTTGGAAGGTGAG